CCGAGAAAATCGGATTCCATTGGTTTGATTCAAATTTTCTGCTTTAGTTACGACGATTCCAAAGTCACTCTTCAAGCTACTGGATATGGGACTGATTGTGATCAGGTGCTACAGACATATGAAAACTCAGCCAAATATTCGTGTGGCATTTCAGATTTATGAACTAGATCTCAATATCGATCCTCGCAAGCAACTCTTGCGAAGAACTAGCACAGGTCTTGGTGGCACAACTTGCTCCTTCTTCTTTAGAGAGGACGACAATGACCATCGGCTTTACGCTGGAAATTTCTGGGCGGTCAGCAGTTGATCTTTGGCTAGTACAAAAAATTGAGAGTAAAGAAAATTTCAGCTAAATGTCTCATCTTTCAACGACGCTGCCAAAACTTGCCCTCAAAAGAAATGCCAAAATCCTTCGATTACCGATCCAATATTGAAGAAGCTTTGCAATACATCGTATACTTGGGATATTGTACCTGAGTATGACATCTTCAAGGTGGGACCTTACATATGCTTCCTCAGATGGTCCAAAATAACACTAATTGGAAAATTTTCATTTTCAGGTAAATAAGTATGGAAACATTGTACAACAGCTGACGGACCATCCTGGATATGATGCTGAAGCCGTTCTTAGCCCAGACGGTAAAACTATAGTTTTCACCTCGATTCGATCTGGAGACTTAGAGTTATGGTCCATGAATTCTGATGGAACTAACCTCAACCAGGTAATCGAGTTTTTTTCCTGAGGAATGGCTGCTTTTTGCTCAAATAAAAGTGGCTTTTTGTGAGTTTTTTTCGATAACTGTACCTAAAAGTTAGAAATCGAAAATATAAGAAAGGGAATTTCTTGGGCCATAGAGCTGAATTTTCTTCCTACAGATCACCTACGAACTTGGTTACGATGGTGGAGCTTTCTTTTCTCCGGATGGTAAACGACTTGTGTTTCGCGCAAGTCGTCCAAGAACATCAGAAGATATTGCCAAATATAAGGTAAGAACAATCATTGTTTCTCAAAAATTTTCTACAACGTTTACATTCAGAAATTGCTCGAATATGATCTGGTTGAGCCCGTTGCAATGGAATTATTTGTTGTGGATGTAGACGGCTCAAATTTGAGACAGATAACTAGTCTCGGTGGTGCAAGCTGGGCACCTTACTATCTGAACGACAATAAGCGGATAGTATTCAGGTAGGCTAAAGTAATGATCGAAAGCTGAGCAACACATTGTTATTTTGTTTTTGCTCAAGAGAGATACGTAAAAGTGAGAAATTCGAGTGGAAATGTGATTTATCCACTGATATGCATTCGCTCCTAAGTCAACTACTCATACAATCCACCGGAACTTCCGTAGGACAAGCAAAATTTGCAGAGATTCCGCAGGATTGTGTTTACTGCAAAATTTGCAGAGATTCCGCAGGATTGTGTTTACTATGGCAAAACTGGAAAGGTTAAAAATGGGAACTTCCGCAGGACTTCCTACAAAACTTCCGCATGTAACCCGGCGGAAGTTCAGGTCAATTGTCTGTGTATGTGAAGTTGTTTTCACCCATTAAAGATGAATCTTTTGTTTCTGCACTTTAGCAAATTATTAATCTAATCTCATGTAATGCCGACAACACTTATTTGAAAAACTTCCATCGGCATGAAATCTGATGGGAAGTTGTCGACAGCGCGGCTACACTACATTAGTCGTCAGAGCTACCATAAATAAGTCGGATGAAAACTTGTTTCGAAAAATAAAGTCATCTCCAACTTTACTAGATCATTCAAGACATTGACTTTAGAAGTGTTTGTTTAGAATAAATCTCGGAAGAGTGATCAACTCAGAAGCTGACCGGAACTTCCGCAGAACGTTTGGGAAGGTTTTGCCGGGTTACCTGCGGAAGTTCCGTAAACATGCTGCGGAAGTT